AGTTTTTTATGAAAAATTACAAACAGAAAAACTAAATAATTAATGAAGTTCAAAGAAAGAAAATTAAATCTAACATGTTAGAATGACTCGAAAGGTTGGCGTCTGCAGGAAGGTGTCAGATGAATTCTGTTACCTCCTCCGGAGCAAGTTTATGTAGATGTGGTTTCTCGTCTAAAACGTCTTAATTATCTGAAGGTTGCACCATCTCAAAAGCCAGGTCAGTTAGAAGGATGTCGATTCGGTTCTCTGTCTCAAACCCAGACAGCAGGTCAGAAAACGGCAAGTTCTGCAGCGTTTCCCAACCTGCCGTGGTTAGAGCCGTAAACAAGTCCTTCTTTTTTTTTCTTTTTCCTTTTTTTTTAATTTTTAGTCTTTTTAGGAACACTTTCTTCCACTGGTTTCTCTGAGTAATGAGACGTCATCTTTTTCTAAAGCCACCTCTATTGGTGGTGTGGAAACGTCTTGTTGTTCTGAAACTATCAGAGTTTGGTCCACTTCACCATCTGGTGGAGTTTCTACCGGGGCAGTTTCAGCCTGGTCAGGGATTGTTTCCACTTCTTGATCTGGGTTCTAACTTGTCTTTTTTGCTTCATGAGTCTTTTTAACGGTGACTGCCACTTCTGGCTCTGTGATGTTGTCAGAAGGTTGCACCATCTCAAAAGCCAGGTCAGTTAGAAGGATGTCGATTCGGTTCTCTGTCTCAAACCCAGACAGCAGGTCAGAAAACGACAAGTTCTGCAGCGTTTCCCAACCTGCCGTGGTTAGAGCCGTAAACAAGTCCTTCTTTTGTTACGTTTCTTTTTCACTTTCAATTTTTTTAGGATTAATATTTTCACTCTCTTCCAACAGTTCTGTAATGTCAGATGGTTGAATAAATTCAGAAATCTTGTCCTTTGATGGGATGTCCTCTTTCTCCAGGTCTGTTTGTATTGGAGAAACTTCCTGTTCTGAGTTTGATTTTGAAGTGTTTCAGCATCTGTGGACGTTTCTTGAGCCTGCTGTTGCATGATTTTACGTTCTGGGGGAACAAACTCTTCAGAAACAACTCCATCAACAGTATCTTGGTTCAAATTGGTCTCTGTCTCACACCGAGTGTTTCTTATGTGAGAACTTTCATTTGGGAAATCTTGGAGAATCTTCACATCCAAGATTTCTTTGTTTCCAGTTTCTGGTTGTAATCTACAAACTACCTCTGGCTCAGAGATATGGTGTTCAGTCTGAGTTGAAATTTACACTACAGTGTATCATTCATCCATTCACACACACATTCACACACTGATGGTGATGAGCTACGATGTAGCCACAGCTGCCCTGGGGCGCACTGACAGAGGCGAGGCGCCATCGGTCCCTCCGACCACCACCAGCAGGCAAGGTGGGTTAAGTGTCTTGCCCAAGGACACAACAGCAGAACTCTCTGTCCGTAGCCGAGATCGATATCCTCTTGTTTCCTCAGCTTGTTAACCAGATAAAGAATGGTGGCATTTTTCTCCTCTATTTCTTTCTGTAATCTATCAGAAAGAAAGTCTTCCAGGATTTCTCTGCAAGCAGAGGAATGATTTTCCTGAGAAACTGCTTTGCGTTCCTTCACCATGCTGACTTCTGTGTAGAATGGTTCTTCATAAATGGGATCGTAGGGATAGATTATAATTCCTACGTCTGGTAATTCACCAACTTCTTGTTTGATCATGTCACTCCAAAGAATTTTGTTGGATGGAAATTCAAACTTTGAAAGATAATTACCTGATGCCATCTCAAAGCTTCACAGTTGTAATATTACAACATCAGATTTAAGTCTACAAAAATAAACCTTCCCCATTTTTTTCTTTTTAAAACCACATTTACATTGCTAATAGGTCCTATTGTTCAGTTCTGCAACACTATTGGCTGTTAAAATGTGTAAATAGGCCCGTTTATCTGGCCTCCTAGAACAACATGTGAAAGGTTAAAAAAAGATTTTGCAGTTGTTTTCTAAATTTGGGTTTCTGGGGGTTAAATGGTGTGATGTTCACAAACTCTTTACAAAAGTTCAGGTCAGACAGCAAAAATACGATGTCTTCTTCTCAAGTGCACAGAGAGCTCTGACTGAGCCTGGAGCTAGTTCTCACCTATAGACTCTAGATGATAATGTCATCAAAGGAGCCCTGTTGCGTTTGTTTCTGTTGCTAAGGAACGGGTACAGGTAAGTAATTGAAATAAAGCATTAACGCACAGTATCATAAATGCATGATTACATGAAACAAATTCATGAATACATGAATCCTTAAATGCTTGGATACATGAATGAATGCATAAAAAAATAAGAAACTAATGGATTAATAAATGAATTCTTGAAAATAAAATGTATGCATCTATTAATTGTCAATTAATAAATTAACAAATTAATAGATTAATGCATGAAAAAATGTGTGCATCAATAAATTCATTAATTAATGCATGAATACAACAATACATTTTCTAATTATTAATGCATTAAATAAATATTAATTAATGCACTAATAAAATAATTAATTAATGCATGAATAAAATAATAGTTTATCTAATTATCCATGCATAAAAAATAATGTATGAGACAAACAATAAATTCACTCATGAATAAAAAATAAATGAATGCATGAATAAAATAAGAAATCAATGCATGAATTTAAATAATAGAGTATCTAATTATTAATGCATGACTAAAAGACATGTGATAAGTAACAAATGAATGCATGAATAAAAACAATTAATTTTTGCATGCTGGAGATAAAAATGACAAAATTATCATGGCACAACCAATCTGATTTAGGATCATATTTACCTATTTAACCTGACACACTTTACTGAACTGTTCAAGCAGCCAATCTCATACTTTTTAAGAAGACTGGCATGCTTCTGTCTGTCTGTCTGTCTGTCTCTCTGTCTGAATATCTGTCTGTCTGTCATGCAATAAAAGGAGCTAATTTCACACTTGAAATCCCGAGATTACAATGCATCCTCAGTCTCTGCAGGAGTTTGATAATAACAAACGAACGTGGGTCGGTTTAATTTAAGAACTGTGCATATCTGCTTGCTCTCAAACACAGACTCAGTGTTTGTCTCACACTAATCTGTCTCTCGCTGTGCTGGACTCTTTTTGTCTTTCTCTCCTCACCTCCAGCTTCAACAGGTCCTTGTCTTTTAACGCTCTGACACATGTGAGCAGAAAGTCTCACAAGAGGAGCAGGTTAAACACGTTCATTTAGGTTTCTGCTTTAGCGGCTTGGCGGTGGAGGTGTTTCTGGAGTGTGTTCCTCTTTAATCAGCCTTGTTGACTTTTACACACAGCATCAGCCTTTGTGAATCTTTAGTAAATAAGTGACATCACAGCCTGCCACTAATGGAACTTCAGGTTTATTTATGCTTATTGTCTAATGGGATGAATTAAAAATATAAATGACTCCCTTTATATTGTTTTTGAGAGTTAAGTGCATAATCTGTTGAAACCCATTTTAAATCATGTGAAATCTGTATAGCAATGTTGTTTAAATCTGAACTCTTCCATTTTTTGCCTTTTTTAAATAAAGGATGCCACTTGCTGGCTGCAGTGGGACCTGCAACCTGAAATCAATCTGAATCTGGGAGCTGCCAATCAGAAACAGCTCGACTCGCATTTCCCTTCCATAAACTAGACATCAGACATCGTGTTAGATACATGCTGAATCATTTTTATCAGGCACATTTGGTCAGTGGGATCAACTCTCTCATCTGAAACTTGATATTTAAATCGTTTTTAGAGATTAGAATAAAAATGTGTTTTCAGTGTTGAGCTCATATAAAAACAGATTGGTGAAACTAACCCGGGAACTGCTAAAAGTTGCATTATTTTCAATGAATTTGTGTTTTTATAAAAAATATATATGTTTAATATGTTAAAAATAGAAAGACTCCATTCTAATAAGGAAAATTGCTTCATTTTGGTTTGTTGTTTTTGTTTATTTTTCTTACCGTTTTGTTTTTACCTTTTTCAAAATTAAAATTTAGAGCAAAAGGGTACTGTACGTGCTCACGGAAAAACATCACAATAAGTGTTATTGAGGGGTATAATTTTTATGAAATGCATAGCTAAAAGAGTCTGACTTCAAGTAAACTGGTGCTAAAAATAAAATAAATCTAATCTAATGCAGATGTTTGACCAACGCAACAGATTTTAAAGATTTTTTTTATTTGGTCGTGACAAATTACTCTCAGTTAGATGTTACATGTAAATACGTAAAAAGATTGTTTGCTAATTCATGAAACATCTTTACTGTGACCATGTTCAGTGTTAGGCACCTTTAGATCACAGGATCTTTATCTCTCTTTGTTGGATTAAAGGCTGATTGGTTTTGCTGTAATCAGCTCAGTTTAGCATCAAACCTGGGACCAGAAGTGGAAACTAAAATATCTGATGGTTGCCTGGCAACTAGTCCAAGAAGAAATTGAGGACACAATCTTTTAAGTGACAAATTCTCTTATTAGGGAAATACGATTCAGCCTGGTTTTCGTTCTCTATATAATTAATTTTTTTTCATTAAAACAGAAACTAAATAATCCTTCATAGTTCCTTTGTAGCTTTAAGCAAAACGTAACAAATAAAAAAGTTTTATGTATCCTTGTGTTTTGGAAAATATTGTATTGCTAAACATATTTCCATAATTCTCCCAACCTTAGTGAATCTGGTTTCTCTGTCTGATGATGATTAGATTACATTTTACTGACAAGAAGCCAGTTGGGCATATTAACCCAACCACACACAGATTAAGTACAAAACATGACAAGTTTACCTTTAATCCAGGTGGGACTGTCTCCCATAAACCTCTTAGTGAAAACACGATTTCCACCTTCTTCTTACACCTTTTGACTAAATCGTTCTTCCAGAAACAAGGAAGATACTTTTGCTCAGACATCAGCTGAGTTTCTCCCTCTTCTAACCAAAAGCAGACATTTAGTTTCAGAGTGGACATGCCTTTTGTAACTTGTCTGTTTTCCTTTGCTGTCTTCAGGATCTTTCAATGTGAACCTACGGCCTCCAGATCTCCTGTTCAAAGTAATCTTCTGGCTGGGATACTTCAACAGCTGCCTGAACCCCATCATTTACCCCTGCTACAGCCGTGAGTTCAAGCTGGCCTTCATCCGGATCCTGAGGTGCCAATGTCATCAGCAAAAGCGTCCCGGCTGGAGAGCCTACAACTACCGCTCCTCAACCTTCAGCTCCTCTGGAAACTCACGCAAAGGCTCCACAGACCACAACGCCAGCTGGCTGAACGGCAGCCAGCGCACTCTGCCATCCTCGGCCAGTCCGAGCCCCAGCTACCTGAGCAAGGGCCTCCCTCCTTGTCCTGAGGGGGAGACGTTATACATTTGGGGAGCAACCACTCCAAGTCCAACTACACCCAACCTGCTGCCTGGCAGCCCCGCAGACTGCCAGCAGGGGGTGCTGAGAGTGGAGGTAAGAGAAAGAAAAACGCCAGAGGAGACATCTGGAGGTGTTTTCTCATTTTCTTTTGGGAACATCAAAGACATGGGAGGGCTGAACAAGGACAGAATCAGTCCTGATGACAAAGTGTGATTGATTCCTCTGAGGGATCTAGTCACAGCACGGATGTAGAACTACACAGGTTCCTCTGTACGATTTGTGGTCATCCATCTGTCGGTGGAGCGTCGTCAGTGATCAATGTGAAGATAACCGAGTATTGTTTATGCTGCTGTTTCACAGGTATTTTCACCACATTTCTGTATCTGTGGCTGACGAGGACTAAACATGTCTTCCCGTGTAGAACAGCTGATGGAGTCTGAACCCGAAAGTTCCTCCTCTCGATTTAAGTCCTCACCTTCTCTGTAAAACAAGTAAAAAAACTTGACTGTAAAAAAGTGTGAAAAGATAAAGGATCACTTTTCTGCTGCGGCCACTTGATATCTTATATTGTGAAAATAAAGTATAATCTGTTTCTGTTGTGCGCACAATCATCAGATGTGTTGTTGGTATGTTTGTAGAAATGTTATAAATAAATAAAATCTAAATTTTCCTCATAACGATTTATTCAGTTCTGTGTTTTTTGTTTAAGCATAATCATAGACTGTTACTGGAGAAATACGTTTTCTGTTGTTTCTGATACGTTTTTCTAACTTTTGGAAAAGAAAAACAAATATTTAGCTTGACTATTTGTGGCAGGATTGTTTACAAACCATACTGACAATAAAACTGGGTTAAATATAATGAAAATGTCTCAAAACTACTTTTATTGTCATAACATAAATAAACAGCAAAGACTGGTGATGCTTTAGGTAGCGCCTTGCACCTGGGTTTTATCCTGTTGCAAAATCTTATTCATTACTTTGATTTCTGATCTAAGAGAGTTCCTTGTCGTCTGGCGCTGAACTGATCAGTTTGTCTTTTTCTGCAGGTGTCTTTCGGTTTCTTTAGTGATGACAGATCAAGGTATTGATTTACCTTTAACGGTAACTCAGGTAAATTTACCTTAATAAATAAAAAACAATAAGCCAGTGTCAAAGATCATGTTGGAGGAAAGCTAACAAGTAAAAATGGGGTTTCAAGCCAGATTTAAACACTTGAAGAAATAGAGCCTGCTTTATTGCCGTAGGGAGCTCGTTCCAAGGGGTTGGTGCCATTACTGAGAAGGCCCTGTCCCCTCTCGATCTCACATTAGAGCGTGGGACTTCCAGTAACATCTGCTCAGCAGAGTGAAGGGCCCGAGAGGAGACATGTCTGTGTGTTAATGCGGATAGCACTGCCCTGCAAAGCCATATACACATACAAAAAATCTTAAATCTTGCCCAATAATTTACTGGGAACCAGTGCAGAGAATCTAGTACAGGACTAACGTGATCCCTCCTTGTCCCAGTCAAGAATCTGGCAGCAGAGTTCTGTATAAGTTGGAGCTATGCAACTGCAGCCTGACTTAGTACAGCATTGCAATAATCAAGGCAGGACATGATTAAAACACGCAACGCTGTTTCCAAACCATTTGAACCCAATAAAATGAGTGACATCTGCTGGCCAGACTTCAACATAGCATTAGCACGACACACAAAAGGCCAATGTATGCGGCAATAAAGTATTTATTTATTTATTTATTTATTTTTTCCCCCCGTGTCCTGTCTGGCTGTGAAGCAAACAGAATTAATGTCTGAATGCTGGTGACAAGCCTTACAGATTTACTCTCAGGTGGAGCATCAAAGCTTCTGCTTTTAATGTCACGCTGTCACGTTGAGAAGTGGAGGAGTAGGACCCGACGTGCAGATACCCAGAACGACACGGAGCAGGAGAGGATGTAAAATTAAACATCTTTATTAAGATGATGAATCCAACGAAAACCAAACGTAGCATGAAGCCAAAAATACCAAGTAGGCAGATGAGATGCAGACAGGGTTAAATACACTGGGGCAGGATGAGTGGGAGATGAGCGGCAGGTGCGTGGGGAGAGAAACCTAGTGAAATCAATTAACTAATCAGGGAGAAGAAAGTGAGCTGAGGAGGGGAAAATAACATGACCTAAGAATAAAAACTAAACCTAAAGACAAGAAGAGCAAGATAAATACCTGATGATCCAAGGAGGAAGGAGAACTAAAAAACCGGTGGGGAAAGAAACACACTAAAAGAGACTAATTAAATGAAAAGCTGAACCTATAGATAAACTACAGAGGGGTGACTAGGGGAGACCAACGGGAGCACAGGACCTGGAAGGACACCTGGGGGGGAGAACCTGGAGGGGCTGCAGACCAGGGGACACATGAGGAACACAAGGAGACAGATAAGCGGATCCTAGAGGGGGATGGAGAACACAATGAGATGCATGAGGGAGACACAGACGCAGACCATGACACAGGCCTGATACTTAAAAGTTTATTGTCACTGTTGTTTGAATGCTTTGAAATTCCGACCAGACACAGAGACAGAGGTGAAAGAGAAAAGGGGGGGGGGGGGTCTGCCAAAGTAAACAATCAATGATGACCAGAGGTCTGCTGCTAGACCTGCAGAAAAGGGACACACAACAATGCAACAGGATCAAGCTATCACTGCGTCAACTTGATGAAGAAATATAAACTACTGAACAATCACACAATAATAAATCACAGTGCATTTAGTGCCAACCACAGCCTTAAGACCTGTGTTGAATGTGCCCAAGTCCATACTTATGAGAGCACCATGTGAGCACCTGTGTGTGTACACGCGCTTGTTTATGGAAGGTTTCTCTATAGGAGCGTCCAATAGAGAGTGTGAGGGGCCACAGATCTGCCCCCCAAAGATGCGTAGGAGATGGAGGGAGCTCCAAGTCCCAGAGATCCAGGAGCTGCCCCAGAGAGCAGGGACCCCAGGGAGACTGCAGCCAGAAAAGCCCCAGCCCCTCTCTCGAGAGGCACAGAGGATTGCCCCGGGGGGCCACAAACAGCAGCTGGCAGGGGCCCGGGAGAAATCGGCGGCAAGCCCACAGGCTCGCCCGTAGCCTCCCACCCCCTAGCCGGCCGACCCCAGAACCCAGCGACCCGGGACCCAGGGGTGACCAGCCCCGTCGGGACTCAGCAGAGCCCAGGGACTCAGATCCCACCAGGCAGCCACCGGGATTGATCAGGCAGACGCCAAAAATCTTAAACCCCCTGACCCGGGAGCCATGAACACTCAAGCTTGGTTTATGCTTGACGGATTCACTTTCTGCTTGGTGATGTGGCTCGCGGATGGAACGCGCTTCACAACTCGCAGCGTTTATGGTTCGTGTGGCTCGTTTCTGCAGTGAGCCAATATTCTCCCAAACTGTGTGGGGCAGCATGGAGCTCTACGGCATGCACCCAACACTACACCATAGTAGAAGTAGAAATTACTGTTTACAACATGGCATTCCAGCATTTTAACAGCGTCCTCGTCTTTTTTGACAGTGTGAGCTATTTCTCTCCAAGAATTATTAACAACATGTCGATCACGGTGATCTCAGAGCTGAATCATGCAAGTGTCTGTATTTACGAACCTCTGCCATACTAGTTCTTGCCGGTCCGCCATGTTTTTCCGCGTCCGAACTTTCGGAACTCAGACAGATAGTTGCCAACAACCTGGAAAATGCACAGAAAAAAACAAAATAAATATTATGATGCAAAAATCCAGAGCAGTTGATTCCTACTCTGCCATACTTGCACCACGTTGGAAAGGACCATACCGAATCATGAACCAAGTGGGGCCGCTAAACTTCCAGGTGGTCACCGAGGATACTGGAGAAGATCTCACATGCCTCACAACTCAGACACTGTACCCCACTGCAGAAGACGTGAACAGAAAACAGTGTATCAAGATTAAGGAATGTATATACCTTACATACTATATATTTTATTACTTAGATTAGCCATTTTTACACTTTGATTGTTTTTACGTTATTGTATTTTGCACAACTGTTGCTGTGAAGCTCGCACACAAGAATTTCACTCGCATGTACTGTACCAGTGTACCTGCACATGTGACGTGACAATAAAAGCGATTTGATTTGATTTGATTTGAAGAGAGTCCTAGATGAGAGCAGTATCAATGACACTTTTCTGGGGTTCAATGATTCATCAGAGGAGGAGTGAAAAAAATAATAAAAATAAAAGATTTATGTCCACTCGTCATTGCTTGATTGTTGATTTATCGATCATAGCAACTGGACTTATTAAATATGTTTAGCTCTCATCCGAGAGTTGATAAAGCAATAAAGGAGAGTAAACTACTTTCCATCAATGCCATTACCCAACAGGGTTATTGCCATGTTTTCCCACCACTGTGTCTCGGGTTGCAAACATTCCAAAAATTGTTTTCAGTTTAGTGACACGAGTTCAGTCCCAACCATCTCCAACAAAACTGTTAAGTCCTGGAATAGAAAAGAACTTAGTATAACAAATTATAATTAACAAACGTATTACCAGGGCTATTTTACTGGATGGCTCAATGAGCAAAATTTCAAACTAGACTTAACCAGTGGTGGGTGTGCACGACGGCCTCATTTCATATTAGTGTGCTCCAGGGCAGCTGTGGCTACACTGTAGCTCATCACCCTCAGTGTGTGAATTAGTGAACAACTGACTGTTATGTAAAGTGCTGTATAAGTGCTGGTCATTTATTCTTTTTAACTTCTAGAAATTGAGTAATGAAAGATTCTTCAGAGTTCAAACAAGCAGTTAACCTGTTTATAGCATAAACCTGTAGAGCACATTGAAGTGACACTGGATTAAACTGTTTCTGTGGAAGAGACAGCTATGGCATGAGATCTTGATCAACAGGAAATATAGCACTTAAACACCAAGGATTTTTAACGATCCAACAACCTGAAACAGTCATTAAAGAAACTACACACCTCAAAGACATCAGGGTTTAAAAACAATAAAATCCACTTGTTAAACTGAAAGCTTCTTTCAGAGGGAAGAGATGGGGTCAAGTCTCCGCGTCTTTGATAAGACCTGCTGCTTGTCTCCCAGAGATGGTTGTTCAGGAGGCTTCAGGAAAAAGGTTTTTCTCCAGAACAAAAGTTTGTACTAAATTACAAATCTCAAACAGTTGGTGTGTCAAGAGTGAATGTTTCCTATGCTGCACCGTCTGCACTGCAACTACTCACCCTTTAATTTCTTATTCTTAAATCTGAAGTTAATTTGTGTATTTAATTTGATCTAAACTGATTGTGTATTTTAATAGTGCTGTTGCATTATTTTAATGTTTGTGCTAATGGAAAGCACATTGAATTGAATAATAAAGCTGCCTAAAACACCAGACATATTTTATAAGTTGGTGTTTACAAAATAAAATTTAAAAAGTCTTATTCAGGTTGACACTGACTTTATCTTCATACAAAAAAAGCTAACATTAACTAAAACTATTGGCATAGATAAATATTTGTTGAAAATTCATAGCTGGTGAGGAGAAAATAAAGAAAACTTCCCCTTATTGTGTTTTTGAGTAAAAGCTATAATTTTAATCATTATTATTACATTTCATTATTATTATTATTTCTTATTTCTGAGATCCAGGGTTGTTAGGAGGCTGCAGATCTAAACACACC